TGTGAAAAAATTAATACTATTTTAACAGATATATTTTAACAGAAACTCTATGTTGTCAGAGGAAAGTTGAAAAGGCCCTTAGTTTCAGAGAAGAGATAGAATTTGACAAAAGTGTTAAGTGAAGTGTACAATATAGAAAAATGGAAATTTTTGCTATTAAAAGTCTACATTTCATAAACTCTCATTGAATAAATTAATACTATTTTAACAGATATATTTTAACAGAAACTCTATGTTGTCAGAGGAAAGTTGAAAAGGCCCTTAGTTTCAGAGAAGAGATAGAATTTGACAAAAGTGTTAAGTGAAGTGTACAATATAGAGAAAAATGGAAAAGGCAACATGAGATAGCACTACCGCAAATAATCAAGAGGTAAGACTAATTTTTGATTAAGATATCTGGTCTTAAAGTGTACCATCTCCTAACAATTAGAATTATTTTACTATATAAGGACTTTTGCTATAGCAGCACTACACTAGGAAAAAACTCATGGGTATAATAGATATGTGTTGGTTTTGCCTGACCAATATTGGTTCATAATTCTCCTGGGACTGACATTCATACACCGATTTAGGTATTTTTTTCTTTCCTGATTCAGTCTGGTCTTTACTGGGATGTCAGTCAAGAGTGGAGATGTTTCCCAAGCTAGGACAACCTGAATCCATCTATCTCCCTTCTTTCCTCTTCCATTTTTCTCTCAACCTCCTTCTCCCCCTCCAATTTGCTCCTTCTTCCTTACTTTCCTAAAATTTGCATTTTATTATAATGAGAAAGAATACACAATAATTGGAACTTCATTTATCACCTTTAAATAAATTCAAAAACAGAAAGAAATTCATTTTCACAAGCCAAAATATTGATTATTTACAGTGAGAATTGAATGGATTGTAATTAGAAAGGGTCACACTCAATATTTCCGGATTTCTAGAGTACTAGTGATGTTCTATTTCTCTTCCTTTTTGACAGTTTTTGTTTCATAGCTTTATTTATTTTCCACCACATTTTTATTGCTGCATATGAGTTATATAGACTGATGAGTTTAGCTTTAGTAGACTTGCACATGTATATACCATACCTTCGCCATCCTCTAGTCTGTATTGTTTTATTTCTTCATCTGTGTGGATCCTGTATTTTATTTGCTTTTTAATTATTTGTTTAGTGATAAATTATATGACTTCTGTTTTCAATGTATTTTATATGTCAGGCTTGTAACACATTTTTGAACCATTTTTTCCTAACAATAGGAGTTGGAAGAGCTTGATCATGAATTTTTGCTTTGTAGCTCTCTACATACTTTTTGATTCCTGTCTTTCCCAAGATCTGTCTGATTTCCTCAAATTAAATGTCATCACATCTCAAAATTAATTTCATTTTACCAAATTACTGAGTTAGTCTCTATTAT